TGTGGCATGTTTTTCGAGCTGACGGAAGTAATTATGAAAAAACGAATTAAGATATCGACTTGATTCTTTTTTCCTCTTGATCCTAATATTTTAACGCATGGCGTGAACTAAAATGATGTCAATTGCCTGAAATTTGTAAAAATGGTAGCCATTTGAAAAAAAAATTTTTTTTGCCCTAAAAATTTTTAAAATTTTTATTAATAACAAATTGAATGTTTGTTGTAAAATCATGATTTTAATTCACGGCAAAGATGAACTCCCCTTAAAAATTTATAATTTTAGCATCAAATTCCTAATCAGCGACTTCAAAAACTATAATACATAAAGATATACGTCAAAATATTTAATGTATCGAGATTTATTAAGAAATTTGTGAAATTTTTTGCTATATTGGATTTATCATCTTAAAATTCTTTATGTTAATGTCAAATTCATATTTAGCATTTCCTGAAACATTAAACAAAGATGTACGAAATAAAATCAATACAATCTATTATAAATTTTATGCCATAAAATCTTGTTTAAAAATTTGAAATTCTGACATCAAATTCGTATTCAATAATTCTGAGAACTCTTATGTATAAATTATCATCTAAATGAATACACGGAAATGCCTTGCACAATTTATTTTCACTCTTACATTTTGAAATCTTATATTTAGCAGTTTAATAATGATACATTGTATCTATTTCTACTTGGAAATTAGTAATTTTTAATACAAATAACTTTTATATATCTAAATGTATCTTTTTCAGCATTCTTGTGATCCAAACGTGTTTGTGCAAAACGTATTTGTCGATACACACGATGTGCGTTTTCCATGGGTAGCCTTCTTCGCCTTACAATACATAAAAGCTGGACAAGAGCTTACATGGAATTACAGTTATGATGTGGGAAGTATACCGGGTAAAGTGATTATTTGTAAATGTGGTGCAGCTAATTGTAGAGGCCGTCTTTTGTAAATTGTGCCTTTTGTGGTAACACTTTTTTTTACATATATATAAATAGAACTTGCTTTCTCTAGCAATGTTGATAGTAGATATATGTAATACAGACGTCATATTATAATCATAATTTATCTTTATTGGAAAAAAGTTTGCAACAGAAATAAACAAGTACAGGAAGACATGAAACGTACGTTTATTTTAAAATATTTTTATGTGTATATAAAAATCTGCAGTGTAAATTTGATTTTTTGTTGAATTATATAAATATAACATATTGCTAATTAATACAATTTCTTTAATTTTAAGTAGATATTTAAAGTAATTTTATAATATAAAAAAGTATATTTCTCTTTCCCCCTTTTCGAAAATGTGATATTCGGAATGGCTTGCGATTGGATATATAAAAAATAAGATCAGTGTTCATAACAATGATGTGTATTTGTATTTGCTTATTACTTTTGATTGTTGTACATTCTTAGTATCCATTAGACACATTACACATTGTTAGCATTGCAATCATACTACTTTATTGCAATTTATACATACATCATTCAAAATTCAACTCAGCACACAGGTATTTCAAAGGAGTTTTAGCATTTTAACTACTTTAGAGTATAAGGACCCTATCGCCGCCACAAAAATATCGGATTTAAAATGGAATAACATGCTTCAAGCGATCATGACATAAAAATGTATAAAAAAGTTTTGATTTTTATAAATTAATAACAAACAATATGTACCGCCTTATAGAATAGATCAAAATATATATATTATATATATCAAAATTACATTATGTATATGTGTGCGTGCGTGCGTGCGTGCGTGCGTGCGTGTGCGTGCGCTCGCGCGCGTGTGTATATATACGATTGCAAGTTTAAACTAAATCAACTTTCGTAACTTGTTCCAGCAACGAAAGAATATCTTGTTATGATAAGTCTGCAACTTATATTTAGAACCATAAGAAGAATTATCGCGAGAACACTTCATTATACAATCTCTCGACATGCAGTATATTATTATTATTATTATTATTATTATTATAAAACATCATCCATGTACCTATCTTCATTTACTTTAAAGTGCTTAAATACGACATATTCTAGTCATCATAGGCGAAAAATCAAAACAAAGCTGGTAGAATAGTCTCTCTCTATAAGGAGGAACATTAACACTAAAGTAACAAAATTATGATTCCGCATTCTGTTTGGCTTTATGCTAGTGGAGTTTCAGGAGCAGTTTAATTTCATCTTTCTCGGCTGCATCCAGATAGCTCGTACCGTCTGGTGTTAAACCGTCTGGTTTAGCGCCTTTTTCCAGCAGCAGTTTTACACAGTTCGTATGCCCTTCCCAGATCGCTGCTAACAACGTCGTGATTCCATGCTTATCTGTAGCCTGCAAGAGAAATATACTTATCTATTGCACTTAACGATATATATCTCTTATTACGTAGATGAACAAAAAAAGAAATCAAAGATAGAAAATTATTTTATAGAAAACAATTATATAATGCTATTATTTAATTATATAACTGTAATACTGTATTCACTACACAGTTACTCTTTCAAGTATTATAATTAATTGCTAATTATTAATTTCTTATATCACTTACATTGGCATTTGCTCCTTTCTCCAATAAATATCTGACAACTTCGCTTTGACCATAATCTGCTGCATAATGTAGTGGCGTTCTTCCATCAATCATTTGATTTACATCAATGTTCTAAAAATGATAATAATTAGACAACAAAATAAATCCTTCCAATTTAAGTAAATTTAACAATTAAATAATAACCATAGTAAAGTGCTAAAAGTAAAATAAAAAGTATTATTTTAAGATATTTTTGTATAGTAAGAATATTTGGACAGCAATACTAATATATAACTTCAATATACTATTTGTTACATTTTCAACTTGTATATAAAAATAATAGTGCATTATATATCCATATAATAAATTTTACAAGGAATATTATAAAGCTAAACATCTATGGTGATTTCATTGTAAATAAATATTGGATATAAAAAGATTTCATAAAGTTATTACAGTAATTTTTATGCAATATTACACTAACATAAATATTAATTTTATATAATTCTTTATTTATTAATAAGAATTAAAGGTAGGTAAAATTGGTATAAAAATTGGTCAGCACCATTTTCTAAAACTTAGTATTAACATAAAAAATTGTTTTGCTAAATATATTATACAAAATATTTTATGAAAACCATTGAAATATGTAGACTTTTGTTCAGAGCTGTCAATTTCTTATATCAAAAGACGAAATGTTTGGTACATTAAATCCACTTTAAAATCGATATATGATCAATTCTTATATTTAAAACGTCTTAAATATAGTCTTTAGATGTATGCCAATCAGAGCCATATTAGCATGTTACTTAATATGTTACTTATTAAGATGTCTTAAGATACAAATTATGAATATCAGTTAAAAAAGTCATTTTCGCCAAAAATGAAGCTGACTAATTTATGCACCGAGCTCTTTATTTTCATATATATATGAAAATTGTATGTATGTATGTATGTATGTATATCCACCAACAAGATCTTATGATGTGCAATAGTAGCCTGAAATGCTTTACACGATTGAATTTATAGCAATTTTTAGAATGCTCGATTTTGAAATCACATTCACGAGAGATAAAATGCTCAAGAAATGTTCAAGCGAAACAGTAAGGGTAAAACTTGTCAGTAGTAAATGACAAGAAACGTGATATAATCACTTGTGTACTAATACTTCCGGCAACGAAACACGCATTTAATTCCCAATTATTCGACAGACTTTTCGTGTACAATATATATTTTATATACTTCAGTCTAGAGAAAAACAGGGTATACGTTGCGCATATTAATTGCGCGTTTGAAACGATGTATGCGTGCGTATTTTTTTGAAACGTTTTAAGAATCAACATTTATCATATTTGCCTTGTTTTCGACGATGTCTCGCACTTGCTCGAGATCGCCGTTTTTTATACCCCAAACGAGCTCACTCATTTTCGTCGTCGCTGTCGTTCTTATGGATCCACACGACAAACGGTTATATCCACTACTGTACGTCCACTCTACCCACCGCTCTATCCGTTCCGTATCTCAATCATTCATCCATGAAATTCGACAAAGCTTCGGCTACTACCAACGATAACTCGACAATCTCGTCGTGTAATACTGTAGTACAGTGCAATATGCACAGACTTTTATATACTACGACTAATAACTCCCAGTTGAAAAAAGTGAAGCAAATTTCAAGTAGAGTCCTAGATAAATCAGAGAAGCGCTGACCGGCTTATGGGTGCGTTCGGATTCCACACCTCCCTCGCCCCTTGCACTCAAAGTCGTTCGGATTCTCTCCGAGACCCCACCAATATTACTAGACGGTGCATTCGAATTCTCATTAGAGTGCGTTCCCACAGAGCGCGTCACGCGTCGCGTCACGATTAATCGACCAAAAATCCCATTTTATTGCATCATTTGCCGCGTGACTCTTTGCGCGACACATCAATTAGGTTACTCTAGAGTCCTAGATTATCAGAGAAGCGCGACCGGCTTATGGCAGTATCGCAAAAGTACTGACTTGAAAATATTAAAAATGGCGTCAAATGACCAATCATAAGATTGATTTATTCGGTAGCCATTTATAATAGCGATAAATCAATCTTATGATTGGCATTTGCGAGTCCAATCAGGACTCGTAACATCGGTCAGATCGGAAGAGCACACGTCT